GTTTGGTACAGCACTACTTTTCATTAAGTTATATGTCTACAATTCTGGTTCAAATATAGAACTTTATTTTTGCTAGATTGTTAAATTATTTGTGAGTTAATATTGCCTTAATGGACAATGATTTTTAAAAAATGAACCATTAAAACGTCAATGTTAAATTTGATGCGTTTGCAAATTTGGGTGCACCTCAGGGCTGCACAATATATCAAAAATTTATAGTCATCACAATAATCGACTGTGTAATATACACATCGCAACAACTGCATAAACTGAAATAAATGGTTGACTCAAAAGTTTGCATTTATGCATTTTGTCATTCAGATGGAAGCTTGAAGTATTTCACCAGTCGAATGAAGCCCTTTATGTATTTGGTCAACTGGATGAATCTCTTCATATTTAAAAACAAAATTCAGGCTTGAATGGAAATGATTAGTTTTTTTTAGTTTGTTTTCTTGGCTTTGAACCCAAAGCAGAAAGACATCAACACTACATGCTTATGTATTTGTTCATTTATTGCAAAACATATCATCATCACAATATTAAGCACTGTTATTGCACATCGCAGATTTTCCTGATATTGTGCAGCCCTAGTGCACCTGACTTTTGTACTGGTGCACCTAAGGAAAAATGTTAGGCGCACCAGAGCAACCAATGCAAAAGGTTAGTCTTGTGCCCTAGCTACCCATGTACTCTACCCCCTGTTTTTACACACTAACATTTTACAGGAACACATTTAAACTGTTTTTAACTAAATTTGTTTTCCTACTTCTATTAATTATGTTTCTACGTTTGTTTAGATCAAATTAAATTTGTCGGTTGTGATTAAACGGAAACACATTTTCAAAGTTCCAAATAGAAAAGATAAAGTTTTCCCACATCTTTCACCAAAAGAACATATTTTTCACATTACTGACAACCAGCTTTGTAATCATTAACACAATAGTGTATATCCAAGATGAAATCACAAGAAGCATAGTTCAGTATTAATGGGGGGAAGAAATTCACTGTGACAAGCTAAAGTTTGTTGTCTGTTAAACTTTTTATTTCACAAATAAAGGACTGTGTCTGTTTTGGTTTATAGGCTCCAGCATTCTCGACAGAGCTGTGATTGAACACAACCTTTTGTCTGCTAGTAAACTCTACAACAACATCACGTTTGAAGAACTAGGAGCATTGTTGGAAATTCCTCCAGCTAAGGTGAGGTGTTGATTAAATGACATTAAAGTCATTCTCTGCTTTGAAATTAATGAAATAACATGTAGTAATGAATCCTAGTTGTTAAATTTTTGTATTTAGGCTGAGAAGATTGCTTCTCAGATGATCACTGAAGGGCGAATGAATGGCTTCATTGATCAAATAGATGGCATCGTTCACTTTGAAAGTGAGTGATACTTGTTTTCTTTTCTGTTCATAATTGTTAAAGCTTTTTGTAGTCTTTTTGTGGACCTATGTTTTTGACTGATGTCATCGACTCGAGTGTGCTGATAATTTATGTTGTGGATCATCTATCACTTAATGCACCAAAGCATTGCTTCAAAGAATCCACCTTCTTTGAGGTCGTGCGTACTCCCTTGGCTGATCCTGGCAGACACACTCTCTTTTTATTTATTTATTTTTTCAAACTTGACAATTTATCCAGATACAGCAGGTAAAATAAGTATTGAACACATTACAATTTTTCACATCAAACATATTTCTAAAGGTGCTGCTGTCATGAAATTTTCACCAGGTGTTTGCAGCAATCCAAATAATCCATATATAAAAAGAAACCAAGACAAAAGTATTCAGAAATTAAGTTATGTGTAATAATGTGAAATGACCATAAACTGACCATGACCAGGTGCTCCTCACAAGATTTCTGACAGAGGAGTGAAAAGAATTATCAGAAGAGTTGTCCAAGAGCCAAGGACCACTTGTGGAGAGCTTCAGAAAGACCTGGAATTACCAGGTACAAAACAATAAGCAATGCATTCAACCACCATGGCCTGTAAGCATGCTCACCACGCAAGACTCCATTTCTGAAGAAAAAGCATGTTAAAGCTTGTTTAAAGTTTGCTGCACAACACTTCAACAAGCCTGTAAATGACTGGGAGAACATGGGTCAGAGGAGAGCTAAATTAAACCCTTTGGATGTCATAACTAGGGCTGCCATGATTAGTCGACTAGTCGACGACTAATCGACTATTAAAATAGTCGACAACTAATTTACTAGTCGGTTAGTCTTTTTTTTCTTTAATTTGTTTTTCTCTCCAAACTGCTTTGACACCTTCCACTGCCACATCTGCCTTTCTGTCGTTGACACACATGCACAGTAGTGGTAACTGGGGTAGG